GCTAAATTACTTGTGAAGTTTAACCACGTTTGTCTGTCTCCATCTTCTACAAACAATAATAGCTTACCTCTGAATACATTTGAAATCAATAAAAAATAATAATAGTAACAACTCTAACATTAAAAACTTAAGTATAGCCCTAGCCGGTTTGGCTCTGTGGATAGAGCGTCGGCCCACAGACTGGAGGGTCCCGGGTTCGATTTCAGTCAAGGGCATGTACCTTGGTTGCAGGTCCCCCAGCAACCAATTGATGTATCAGGGATCCTGCAGGAGGCAACCAATTGATGTATTTCTCTCACATCTAACCTGAGCCCTAGCCAGTGGAGGGAGCGTCAGCCCATGGAATGAGGGGTCCCGGGTTCGAATCCAGTCAAGGGCACGTACCTGGGTTGCAAGCTTGATCCCCGGCCCTGGGCCATGTAAGGGAGGCAACCAATTGATGTGGCCTTTCTCAAACTTGGATGTTTCTCTCTCTCTGTCTCTCCCCCTCCCTTCCACTCTGTCTAAAAATATCCTTGGGTGAGGATTAACAAAAAACTTAAGTAGACATTTTAAGCGGAAATCATGAGGTTAATGTATCAGATCCTCTAAGTTTAAGTCAAATTATCTTACCTATTACAAATATTTAAAATAATGAAACATACACAGATTGCTATTAAAGTTAATGAAAAATAATTTTATTGGTTGATAGTTCATTATTTCTATATATAAGGGTCAAATGAGAGTTTTATCATCTAAGCAAATTGGGGCTGTTACCACAAGCAAATTGATTGTCCTAAACAAATAGGGTATTCTTGATTCTGTTCATATTTTCCCTCTTTCTTAGGGACACAATTCTTACGGTTTAATGATAACAACTAGGCTGTGCATATCTCCTTTTCTGTCATGCTAATGGTAGTGGTCTCTTACCATCACTGCCACACTTCTTTAGGATACTATTCTGTGATCAGAATGGCCTGGGTAAAGGATACATTTCATAGGTCTCTGGAGTAAGCACTTTAATGCTTCCCTCCCCTCTTGGGCCCTGCTCTGGAGTAGGATGCCCTAGCCTGTGAAGCACTGGCTCCTGATGACTTGGGTTGAGTAGGTCTGGGCTGAGAAGGCCTAGGTTGGGAGGGCTTAGGCTGAGCGGGTTTGGATGGAGAGCTTCTAGCTGGGGAGGGCTGGGGATGAGTGGGTTTGGATGAAGAGCATCTAGCTGGGGAGGGCTGGGGATGAGTGGGTTTGGATGGAGAGCTTCTAGCTGGGGAGGGCTGGGGATGAGTGGGTTTTGTTTGGGTGGGTTTGGGTTGAGATGCCATGGGTTGGAAGGGTTTGGGCTGGGAATGTTTGCCCTGGGATGGCGTGGGCTGACGGAACGGAGAGTTGGGTACAAATGTGTTGTTGGACATAGGATGGGATCCCATGTGGCCAGCTGGATTTGAAGGCCCACCTGGTGTCTTTAGCTTGAATCCCGGCTGAAAAGCGGGTCTTAGGGGTCGGTGTATGACTCCTGCGGGCTGAAAGTTTCGAGGGTGAGGAGTCACCATGGGGGATGATGTTCTCACCAGTTTTTCAGTTGCCTCAGGCGGCTGTGTTCCCCGGGCGTGGGCTTGCCTAGGCGGTGGCTTCCCAGCTGGTCCTGCTGGCTGTGCGTGGAAGTGACCTACGGGGGAACCCACCACGACAGACCGTGGACACGCTCCCGCTGTCTGTGGTCTGCCAAGCCAGGTCTTCACATGCTGCCAGATGGGCCTTGGTGGTCTCCCAAATGGCCCATCCATGTGACGTCCCCGGGCAGGTCTTGAAAATTTCATGAAACTTTCAACTGAACCAAATCTCTGGGGTTGGAAGTACTGAACCCCAAAACTTCTACCTTGACTATGGACTCTTGAATTATGAAAGGGTGGAGGACGGAACCACTTAGACTTCTGCTCTGACCCCAGGTGGAAGCCCGGAACCCGAGGGGCTTTCACAGGAGCACGGTTAAAGTGGCCTCCAAGTCCGACTGGGAACGGACAGAGGTTTTGCACGTAAGGCATGAATACTGGGGTGACATGGAAATTCTGAAGAGCCTGGGTGACCTCGCCTTCAGCTCCAGGCTCTTTCACAGGCACCTCAGCGGGGCGTTCAGATGAGCTTTCTGGCTGACGGTGTCTTTGTGGCCCCTCATCTTCAACTGTTCCAGCCAAGTGCTCACCAGGGGAAACTTGAACTCCTTGAACGTCCTCAAAGTCTTGGTCTACCTGGATCCCCAACTCCCTGGCCAAGGAGGCCATGTCCTCCACAGACACATGTCTGAGTGATGAGGACATCACTTCTTGGAGGGCAGCTCGGAGGCCCTTCAAGTTCGTCCCTTTCTCCCCAGCTTCCTCCTCCTCCCAGAACAGTAGCTGGGATGGCTTCAAGTTCAGGAGCCTCTGGAAAATCTGAGCCTCTTCACTCTCCCTGGCCTGGGGACTGAGGATAAAGTAGCATCTTTCAATGGCATCTTCTCCTAAAAACATGAGCAGGTCCCATTCCTTTTCACCCAGGCAGTCCGTGAAGAAAAACACAGCTGAGGAAACCTCCATCAAGAAACCAAATTGTGTCCAAAAACTTTCTAGATCTCCATGAAGGTTGGCCACGGCAACGGGCTCCTGAAAAAAGGGAGGGTTTCCCCTTAGACGGTCGCTGTCCGGACAGCACCACGCTATTTCCACCAGGCCGTCCGAGATCTGCCGGGGGAGCACCGGGACGGGCAGATCGTGATGGAGGAAGACTTTGTGCGGTTTGGCTTGGGCAGGGCTGAGCAGCGCGTTGAGGATTCTGGACTTGGAGAAGCTACAGTCTCCTAGACGCACAAAAGAGAGGACGGGCATCTTTGCGAGAGTCAGAGACCTTTCGGTTTCCCCCGCCGGCTGCTCCGTCACAAGGCCTTGCATGGCCCCCAGCATCAAGATGCTTTTGTTGTTCTCCGCATCCGGCAGGAGCAGCGGCAGAGCAAACCCGCATCGGTACATGCTTGCCAGGACTGCGCGCTGCAGGGAGCTGTGGGCACACAGCAGAGAGGCACAGAGCACATCCAGGGGGTGCAGGGCGGGGGTGTCCCTCATTTCCAGATTCTCTACTCCGCCTGGCGACTCCCCTTGGCTCTCCTCACAGCGAACCTCGTGTCTAAGGATGGAATCCCTGGCCGTCACATCCAGGGCTTGAACTTTCATCAGGAAATTCCAGGCCAGGTCTCCTGGCGTCTCGGGTGTCCACTTACATCCTCGATCTAAGGAGAACTGTTTAACAACATCTGGCAGAAGCTTTCTGCTCCTATCCAAGTTCAAAAAGGACAGGACATCTTTAAACACCTTTTTTCTTTCTGTGGGAAAGAAGACACTCCGTGAATGTCACTTTCAAAAGTCCCTCACTGACTTTTAAAACTAAGTAACTAATTGCCATTTTCACTGTAAAAAGATGAAACGAGCCGAAACCGGTTTGGCTCAGTGGATAGAGCATCGGCCTGTGGACTGGGGGGTCCCAGGTTCAATTCCGGTCAGGGGCATGTACCTTGGTTGCGGGCACATCCCCAGTGGGAGATGTGCAGGAGGCAGCTGATCGATGTTTCTCTCTCATCGATGTTTCTAACTCCCTGTCTCTCTCCCTTCCTCTCTATAAAAAATCAATAAAATATATTTTAAAAAAAAGATGAAACGACTCTGCCAATTTTCTTTCCTTCTAAGAGACGTCCCTATGTTTGCTTCCCACCCTTTTCCTATGCAAGTCCATAAGCCTGCATGGATATATAGAAATACATAGTTTGGTTTAATGGATGCTAGTTTATATTTACATAAATGATAAGGTACTAAACAAATGATTCTTCAACCTGTTTTCATTTAATGGTATTCCTTACTAATTCTCCCCAGTCAGTATTTATAGAGATCTACTTAATTCATTTTGGCTAATCCATTGTATTTCATGGTCTGGAAATTTTTTGGCTAATGTTTATAGGCAGAAAATTAAAACCTTGTTAATGTTTCATTATACACATATAGGAGGAATTCTCTGATATTGATTCCTTTCTCAAGTGCATCTCTTGCTAAAGTTTGGAGAAAAGGAAGAGGCCATTGCCATTTAGCTTTTCTCCAAATGTCCATGTTGCACCTAATTTCTCCTGGTCTCCCATTTCCTAATGTACCTTCTAGCTACTTCTTGGGAATAGAGAGAGAATAGAGAGATAGTGCTTAGTAGAGAAAGAAGATCTGGCAGCATTTATTGCTCTTGATGAATGGCAAATTAGCATAAACTTCTTGAATCCGGTACAAAAAAACAAACAAACAAAAAACCCTTAGAATAAACAATAGAAGTGAGAGAAAAGTATACATTTTAAGAATTAACAAAAGTACTCTAAAAAATCCTTGGGTTGCCTGAAAGTTGCCAAAGATTTCCAGCAAGCCAGCAAAGCTAGAAACAGGTTTTCTCTGCAGCCTTTAGAAGGAACCAATGTTGTATACACCTTGATTTCAGACTTCTAGCCTCCAAGCTGTTGAGACAATACATTTCTGTTGTTTATTGTCTAAGCTACCCAATTTGTGGTACCTCCTGAGGGCAGCCCTGGCAGGCGGATACCGGGGCG